GAAATCACCACCTGTCAGTGACGGCGTGTGCACTGCTGGGGCGCTGAGCAGGGAACCTCAGGTACCATGCAGAAATCACCACCTGTCAGTGACGGTGTGTGCACTGCTGGGGCACTGAGCAGGGAACCTCAGGTACCATGCAGTCAGCACCACCTGTCAGTGACGGCGTGTGCACTGCTGGGATGCTGAGCAGATCAGTGGAGCTTCAACACTGAGATGGACGAGGAGGAAAGGCCTGGCAATACAACAGTCTAACTCAGCCGTGGTCGGGACTGGCATGGAGGGGCACACCAAGTGTTAGAGGTTCCGTGCCTTCTGAGGGGGAGCACACTGCTTAGGGGTCTCGCAGTGGAAGACCCAGCTGCCGTCAGCAGCGCAAAAGCACGAGCCAGGGCTCTTGCGGGAGGGACCTGGCCACTTCCGTTCACCACCTTGGGGACCCTGGGAGACAGCACAACTCTGAGCTGAAGGCCTTCTATGAGCTGCAATGGACGTAGCAGCATGGGGGTGGGGTTCAGAACCCCCACACTCTGAGAGGCAGAGCGGGGCCTGGACGTGGTCATCAGGAGAAGCCGCACCCAGGGAAGTTTCATGTCCATGCGCTGCTGTTCAACAATCCCGACTCAGTGCAGACACAAGCTTCCTCTACAAAATGTACTCACCCCTCGGGGTTGAAGTCACCTTGAGAAGAAATTGTTGGTCTGTGGGTGGCTAGTGTTTCAGGGAGAGCACTTTGGCACACATTGGCTCTGTCAGTGAGCTTCATGTGGCCTGGGTGGGGATTGTAACTGGGATTTAGCACTTTAGTGCATGTAAATTTGAGAGGTCAGCTGCAAAAGTCCTGTGTGCCGGAGGTGAAAGGTGATCTGGCAGAGTTACTTGGGGGTTTACAGCTGTCAGTAGTTAAAGTATTGTTAGACACCTGTCACGTATTTGAAGACATTCTAGGTGTGAGAGAGCAGGGGGTGCGGGCCTGAAAAATGGTGTGCTCCAGGCGCCAGCCCCAGCTCTGACGCAGAGAGCTGTGTCTGTAGACATCATAGGCCCTACTGGTTTCACATCTGCTCTGCAGGTTTCTGGGGGGAACATATGTGTGAATCAGAGGCGCTTGCTAGTCCGGGGGACTCAGGCTTGGCCCCTGAGGTGCTTTAGGGAGCTAGTCTAGTTCAGGGTCAAGATTAGTGTCAGGCAGCAGGAGCGGCTCACACCACATCAGACAGCACAGTCTTGTAAAACCTGCTTTACCGTTCGTTCCCATGCTTACCCACCACCTTCAGTGGGTTCCGACTGAGAGCAGCTCTGCTGCAGAGTGGACCAGCCCCACCAGGTTTGACTAGTCTTTCTGCTGTGGAGGGACCCCATTCTGTGTTCAGTGGCCACTCGCTGAGAGCTCGGCAGGCCCACCCTCTGATGACCAGCTCCTTGAGCCCCGGGAGGGACTGCTTATTGGTCTCTGGTGCATAGTCCACACAGAGTCCTGCTAACCCACAGACCTCACCTCTCTGCTGATTCAGACCCACCAGTGTGTCGTTTACAACTTCCAAACACCCAGCTGAGGCCCCCTGTGCCTGCTGGCCTGATGGCAGGGAGAGTGCACAATTCCAGGGAAAAAAATGGAAAGACATTGGGGGCTTCACAGAAAACTCTCACAACTCGGGAGGGGGGACTAGCAGACGAGAAGAGAGGCCCGACAGAGTCTGAAGCACTGGCAGGGGAAGGAGGAGCTGGGTGGACAGGGGATCAGTAGTTGGAATCCACCCAGCTCTCTGGGGGGAAAGGCGTGCAGCCTCAGAACCCAGGGAGGGTCGCCATACTTGGGGACTGATGGCAGTCGCCTGCTTTGGGTGGTAGGTGCAGTGAGCAGTTGGATTTACTTTAGCAGGAAGAGGGTGCTGATTTTGGCTGCAGCAATCACATTGTCAAGGACTGCGAACCCCCTCGCAGCTGTAGACCCCACTTCATAGGAAGGCTTTGTTCTCCGTGGGGGAAGGTGCCATGGACTGCGCTGGAGTTTGTCACCTGTCAGTAAAGGTCCTTGCAGAGTGCTGGGGGGCTGGGGGCTTTACCCTGGCATGACCCCTCGACATCACTGTGTCCCGTCCCACCAAGGCCCAGGGTCCTCTCCCGTGGGCACCTCCTGGCTCCCACTAACAGCCGGCTGGGGTTCTTTCAGAAGCGCTGGATGAAGGCTTCCAGATTCCGGCCACGATAGCTGAGCGCTACAAAGTGGGAAGAACGATTGGCGACGGGAACTTCGCTGTGGTCAAGGAGTGTGTGGAAAGGTGAGCGCGTGTGGTGGACATGGGCCGTGTGGAAAGGGGAGCGGGTGTGGTGGGCACAGGCCGTGTGGAAAGGTGCATGGGTGTGGTGGGCACAGGCCGTGTGGAAAGGTGAGCGGGTGTGGTGGGCATGGGCCTTGTGGAAAGGTGAGCGGGTGTGGTGGGCACGGGCCTGTGGAAAGGTGAATGGGTGTGGTGGGCACGGGCCTGTGGAAAGGTGAGCGGGTGTGGTGGGCACGGGTCGTGTGGAAGGGTGAATGGGTGTGGTGGGTACGGGGCCGTGTGGAAAGGTGGACGGGTGTGGTGGGACGGGCCGTGTGGAAAGGTGAGCAGGTGTGGTGGGCACGGGCCGTGTGGAAGGGTGAATGGGTGTGGTGGGTACGG